TACCAAAGGAAAATAAATTGTCAATATTCCCCTGCCAAAGACCACAGGACACACCTTCAGTTGAACAAAGTTGGATTTACTGAGTTTGTTGCAACAAGAGAGAACACATTCCATGGGGATTAGGGGGAGCATGTCAGTAGGAAGGTGTTAGAATGGACTTGGCCTCCTGTTAGGTATTTTTCAAGAAGGGTTCCAGGAAGAAGTGCTTTACTCTGGATTGAATCCAGTCAAGAAGCATAGACAATTCTTATGATTGAGTATCTTAATCTTAACTAGAAGGTGGGAAGAATGGTGCAGGACAAAGCTGTAATTGGTTAAAAGAAAAAAAAAGAAGCAGCAATCATGCCTATTGGCCAGAATAGGGGTTTGTTTGATCATTTTTGGATTTTGGACAATATTCTTGTTTTGGTCTGAGTTTAGACATCATTACAGAGGGATTTTGTTTTTGTTTTAATACATCAGGGTCACAGAGTAGCCTTGTCTGATGCTGATAGACTGTGAAATTGGTTATGTTCAGCCAGAGAATGCCAAGGCTGAGCTGTAAGCACCTAGCCAATTTTTAGGAACATTGTGGCCTGATAGGGCCAGGCCTGTTTCCAGCCACTAGCAGTTGTTTTTCTCCCTCTCAAATGAAAGTGAATTTGCTTGGATTTTTAAATATAGTTGATAATGCAAGTTAGAGCTTTGCTCCTCTAGTAAAGGAGGTGCACAGGCCACTGAGCAAAGAATGGTATAGATCTGCAGTCCCTTATATAAAAAATTCTAAAATCCAAAGTCTCTGAAAAACTGTAAGTTTGTCTATTAGTCATCGGCCAACAGAGCCTGACCAAAAATGCTGTCAGGCTCTTTAGTCTTCACTTATTTCACTGAATGTGAATAGTTAAAATAGTTTGCTGTAGAAATCAACTGTGTTTAATTACAGGTGCTTATCCAGATAAGTGGAAGTGTTATAGCCTGTCTGGACCAAAGAGTGGTGCTGTGTCTGAATTTAAGGACATTATCAAATATTTGCTTTCTGAGTACTCATTTGTCTTTTATACAAGAATATTTGTATTGTAATCATTAAAGATCTATTATTTATAGTCTGTATAATTTTATGACCTGTTTAGATTAGAAAACAGTAATAATAAAAATCATCACTGAGCCCTTACTAAGGACAGAGCATTATTCTAAGCACTTTACATGTAATGTCTCATTAATTTTCAAAATTACTCTTAGGCAATAGAGCCCAACACTCTCTTTTACAGATGAGAAACTATGGCTATACAGTTGCCCAAAGTGGAGCAGTTTGTAAATGATCAAGGAGTCAAACAGGGACTCTTTCTCCAGTCTGTGCTCTCTCCTCATTACCATTTTGGAATGTGGATGACTTTCCATGCTTTCTCTAGTTGCCTCAGGTCCATTTAGAAGAAGCACATGGACCATTTCACCTGCTGTCCCAGCCTAACATAGACCTACCACAGAGGCCTGCCTCAAAAGAATACTTTGGGGCCAGACATGGGCCTGGGAAGATTGGAGACAGGGTTGGGTTGTTGCTGAAAAACCTTAGTCCCAGATGTAAATCATGTTAGACTCAGGATGAAAATTGTCACTGGGCTCCCGTAGTTTATTTATTTCTCATATTCATCCATTGTTCCTTGTCCTGGAGTCAACTTGCTTCTTCTTCCCCATAGAAAATTCCAATTGTCTCTGCAAATTAATTTATGGAGATGAGAGTCATGAAATTAGTCATAGTATTCAGTGACATTTATTGGGAATAAAAACATGATTAAATCAAAAGGAAAAAAATAAGATTTTCCTTGCTTTTTTCCTCACTGTTTCTCTCCCCCATCTCCTTCTTCCTTCCTTTTCCTCTCTCTTTCATTATCTCATTTCTCATTTTATACTTTTAAATCAATATTTGCTAACTTATATAATTTTTTTATCTTTATCTTTTCTTGTCTAACTTATTGAATGTAGTCTTTTTCCTTCTCTTTTTTTCCAAGTTTCTCCTTTTTTGCTTTTGTCATTTTCTATATGAGTAAACATTGTTCTTTATTCTGCTGATGCACACAATAAATCTAAGTGTCATATGCATGAAAAGCAGTAGACAGAGGTTTTTGTACTTGCTTATATATTGTTAACTGTGCCGACAATTTTTAAAACACGTAAGTGCTTACTGACCTTCTTGGACCCCATTATACCATACATACCTCTATTTTATTTGTGTCAGAATTGACTTGTTAATGTGCCATCCCATTTCAAAGGAAATAGGATATGATTTTGTTTTTCTAGCCACATTTTTATAGAAAATATTTTGCTATGGACTGTTTTATCTGCTACACTGAAGATGAAGGAATAGTATTCAGTTATTCCCCAGTTATCCATGGGCTAGACTTCAGGCATTCAAGTCAACATGAACCACAGGCACAGTGCAAACTTCAGAGGAAGGTAGGAAGGGAAAGATATTATTACCTGAAGGTGGCATAGCAACAGCTCCTGAACAGAAAGCAACATGCAGAAAATGGGCCAAAAGCTTAATGCTGAGGACCAGAAAGACATCTATAGACGGACAGTGGTTCAATGTCCAATAGCTCTTAGAAAACTAAGGGAAGAATGGGCATGGGCTAGGGGGGAGAAAAGGGAAAAGAACAGAAGGAAGGAATCAACAAACAGAAGAGGTTGGAAGACACAACCACCAAAGCCCAGGTGTCACATTGAGGGCAGTAGTGGCTGTGTGACCTTTGGGGTCTGCAAGGGAAGAAAAAAGCAGCAGTGGCATGGAAGGAGATTATTCACACTCTGCTCTTTGGAGACTGAAAAGGCCATTTAGATTTTAGTTGCTTCAAAGATCACTAAGGTATGATGCCAGAAAACACTTGCAGATAGCATTTCATGTAAGAGCTCACCAATCTCCTTCATGGGTGTAGTGTCGCAAAGCATTGTGGTATTTAGGTCATGCCATATTAAAGTCAGGACTATGCAGTGCTTTGGTTAAGAAGCTCAAGCCTAACTTGCGCTGCAAGGTGTTTTCAGGCAGTACAACAGAGCTGGCTGAGTTACAGAGCTAGTGCATGACATAAATTCGAAATTTTCCTTATGGAAGCTTCAGGTTGTACTTAGTACCTGTTTTCTAAGTCTGTTTTCTCAAGAGTGACAAGGTGTTTCACATTAAGACACAGCTTTGGAAGGACAGATGTGACTTATAAGAAAGAGCATCAAACTATCAATTCTAAAGAATATCTCATGGTTTTAGAGTGATATTTTTCTGCCATGAACAATTTAAAAAATAATGGTAAAACTGACCTGATTGTGGAAAAACTTTCCAAAATCCACCAATAGGTGCCAGACTCTAGCTTAGGACTAGATGTAATGTGTTTTTTTCTCACATGAACTATAGCTGAATACAAGATTAGGTAGTTGAAACCGTTTGTTTTCCTGGAGCTTACAAAAATTTTATATCTTTACTTGTTGCTAAAGTGATTTATAGACAAAAGCATTGTTTCCCCTAAAGGTTTTCTGCCCCTTATTTTTTCTATTGTAAATCTTTAAAAAATCATGTAATCATAATCAAAAGATTCTAAGGCTAGACAGTTCAAGAGCACACCCTGAGGACATAGAATCAATGAGAATAGTAGACATCTCTTTAAAATTATTCTTATTATTATATTGATTCCACTTAAGGATTGGGGTGTCATTCAGAGTATAAAGTATTAAGAACAGACATTAGGCAAGTCTTAGATTAAACTGTGGGATGGTGTTAGATATGCAAAAAAGTATTACTTTTGTGCTAACATGCAGTCTTCTGAGTAAGGACTGCAGTGGCCTCTATGGCACAATTCACCTCATCTCCCTGCAACCACACAACCTAGCACTAGTTCTACAAATAAATTAGCCACCTCACTATTAGTCAAATAGATAAAATAGAACAATCTGTTATGACTGAGCCTGTGATATTGCAATAACATAGTATTTTGACCACTATTGCCTCAAGGACCTTCATGGAGGCATTCTGAAGATTTATGGAGGATTTTGAAATAATTTGAGGGATAATGGCTTTGGCCTATGATAATATAATTTGTTTTATATATTATCCTTAAATACCATGTAACTCTACATCCTTCATTTCATAAGGAAAATATGTGACCCAAAATTAAGAGAATTTTTAGAGAAAGAAAATTCTAACAAACACTTAAAAATTTTTCTGCACATTTCATTATGTGTCTACTATGCAGAAGTCATGGCACCCAACAGTTCTCATACATTATTGCAATCTTTAAAATAGCTCTCTAAACTAAGACATAGAAAATGGTTATCTCTGTTCTAGAGATGAGGCAGAAACTCAAGATTAAGCAGCTTGTAAAGGGCAGACCCACACAGCAAGTAAAGGGCAGTCCCACAGTTCCAACGTAGATGTCTCTGATTCCAAAGCCAGGTTTTTCTCTGAGAAATCTCTCCATTATTGCATGGGATAACAACTGGACCATAGTGTTCTCTCTGAATCATGAAGGAAAAGTTTGATTAGTCCAATAGGCTTTATCTAAGAAGGTGCAAATTGCTTTTAGCATAATTTCCATCATTTTACAGGTTAAAGTTAAGTCTTTGTTTGAAAAAGTTAGGTTGTACTTCATTTGACTAGAATATTCTGTCAGCTTAGGTTGTATGGATAAAGCATTAAAGTATAATTTTATAAAACACTTTGAAGTTTTCTTTTTAGATCTAAAGTTATTTATAAATTTTATTGGTGTGTTCTGTTTAATGTTTATTAAAAGGTATCTTTTTTCCCCCACAATTTTGTGTGTCATCAGTTATTGATTTGTATTTATTTGGGGGATCTTTACAAAATGCCTACTGTTGAACTTCCATTTTTTCCTTTGGTTATTAAAAATGTTTCTAGAGATAGGTTCCATGAGCTCAAGCTAAATTATGGGAGTTTTTGCTCTATGTATACATCATGAGAATGTATTAGCTCTGTGTGCAACATTATAGACACTTTTTTATCTCTATGTTTTTAAATTCAGGTCCCAAGTCATTTGCAAAAGCATTTTCCAGTGGCTATCTAATTGGAGAAGTTCTGCACAAGTTTGAACTTCAGGATGATTTTTCAGAATTTTCAGAAAGCAGGTTAGTGAAGTAATTTCTTACTTTTTTAAAAAAGTTAATTTCTTTGGCATTTGGAAAGTCCAAAGTTAGCTTTAAAGAATCATCAGTCTAGCTAGGCATGGTAGCACGCACCTGTAGTTCCAGCTACTTGGAAGGCTGAGGTGGAAGGATTGCCTGAGCCTGCAGGTTGAGGCTGCGGTGGCTGGGAGTGTGCCACTGCACTCCAGCCTGGGTGACAGAGTGAGACTCCAACCTAGAAAGAAAGAAGAAGAAGAAGAAGAAAAGAATCATCAATCATAACATACCCTCCAGACCTAAAACAGCCAAGCAGACCATTGACATGGAAATAGTTGCTTCCTGTCACATATATTCTTTAATGTCCCAAGAGTACAAAGGAAAGAGGGTTATATGGTTGCAGCAAGACCTCATCTCTAAATGTGACTTATTTTAATACTTTCAATGTAGCTCTAATCTCACTCTAGATTACTTCCTCTTTTGTTAACTGATTTTTCCTTCTTTTAAAAGAAGAAGTGAAACAACCTATAGTGCCCTGGATGGTCAATTAGTATTATTCTTTGAGTTTTTAAAAATATAGAATAGAACTTAAGTGCTAGTTTTAAAAAATCCATAATTTTTTGTAGTGACTATAATGAGATATAATTTATATAACATAATTTTCCATTTTAAAGCATACCATTTAGCAGTTTTAGTATATTTGTACATTCACAACCATCACCACTATTTAAACTCCCAGCACCCGACACCAACTAATCTATTTTCTGTCTTTGTGGATTTGCCTTTTCTACACATATCAATTGAATCAATCATAATATGTGACATTTTGTGACTGTCTTCTTCCACCCAGGATAATGTTTTCAGGGTTCATCTATGTTGGAACATGTATCAGTACCTCTTCATTTTTATTTATTTGCTGAACAATTTCAATTATATGAATATACTATACCTCATTTTGTTTATCCATTTATCAGTCAATGGATACAGTCATCCATTGGTATCCTTAGGGCATTGGTTCCCTGACTTCCTGTGGATACCAAAATCCATGGATGCTTAGGGCTGTTATATAAAATGGCATTGTATTTACATATAACCATCACACAGCTGTGTATATACTTTAAATCATCTCTAGGTTATTTATAATACCTAATACAATGCCTACTTCATTTGTGTGAATTCAATGTAGTATTCAATGTGCTGTAAATTCAAGTTTTGCTCCATGGAACTTTGTGGAATTCTTTTTTCCTCAAATAATTTTTATCTGCAGTTGTTTGAATTTCTGGATGTAGAACCCACAGATAAAGAGGGCAAACTGGATTTGAGTTGTTTCCACTTTTTAGCTATTATGAACAATCTGCTATAAACATTGTGGTTTTGCATGGATATGTTTTCATTCTTGGATGTATACCTAGGAGTGGAATTGCTTCATTATATGGTCTGTGTTTACCTTTTGAGGAACAAGTAAATAGTTTCTAAAAATGCCTGCATCAGTTAAATTCACACTAGCAGTGTATGAAGGTTTTGAATTCTCCATGTTCTTAACACCTGTTATTTTCTATTTTTTTTATTATAGCCATCTTAGTGGGTGTGAAGTGGTATCTCATTATTTTGATTTGCATTTTCCTATTAACTAGTGATGTTGAACATCTTTTTATTTATTTATTAGTTATATGTGAAGCTTCACTGATGAAATGTCTATTCAGATCCTTAGCCTATTTTTAAACTGACCTTTTTATTGTTTGAGTTATAAGTGTTACTTATATATTCTAAATAAGAGTTCTTTGTCAGATAAATGATTTACAAATATTTTTCCCATTATGCGTATTCTACTTTCACTTTATTAATAATGTCCTTGGAAGCACAAAAATTTTTTTTATTTTGATGAATTCCAATTTTTTGTCACTTCTGCTTTTGGCATTATATTTATATATACAAAATTCTTTTTATTTCTCTAAGGGCTATAATAATATTCTGTCTGTTCACTCACAATTTTAGTAATTTGAGTCTTCTCTCTTTTTCTTAGTTTGCAAATGTTATTGATCTTTTCAAAAATCCAACATTTGGTTTCATTTATTTACTTTGTTTTGGGTTTGAGATCTTTTTAAATATTTGCATGATGGTTGTAAATGTCCCTCTAGACACTGCTTTAGCTGCATCATATATATTTTGGTATGTTAGTTTTGCATTTTTATTTATCTTAAATAATATTTTAATATTCCTTGGACTTGTTCTTTTATGCATTGTTATTTAATTTTCACATATTTGTGAGCTTTTAAAATTTACCCTTCTAATTTCTAATTTAATTAATTGTGGTTGGGGAACATATTTTTTATCTTTTCAATCTCTTTAAACTTTTTGAGCTTTCTTTTTTTTTTGGTGGGAGATTTTCTGGCAAAAACTGGAAAACCTACTAGACAAATACTAAAAGAGCTGTGGCACCTATTGAAGCTTTTTAAAAAATGATCTAACATATGATCTCTTTTTGAAATGTTTTATATGTACTTAAATAATGTATATTCTGCTGCTGTTCAATAGAATATTCTATAAATATCTGTAAGGTCTAGTTGGTTTATAGTTGTTTAAGTCTTATATTTCTGTGCCAGTCTTCTGCCTCGTTGCTGTGTTGCCTTGTTGTTGTTATTGAAAATGGGATATCAAAGTCTCTAACTATTGCTGAATTGGCTATTTCTCCTTCTGATTCTTTCAGTTTTTGTTTGATGTGTTTTGTGACTCTATTGTTAGATACATATAGGTTTACAAATGTTATGTCTTTTTGAGGAATCAACCATTTAAATATATAAAATGTTCTTTTTGTTCTCAAGTAATAATTATTTTCTTAATGTCATTTTTTTCCTGATTGTAGTATAGCCATTTTACTTCTCTTTTGGATATCATTTTACATGGTATTTTTTTCATCCTTTTTCTTTCAACTGATTTCTGTCTTTGAATCTAAAATATATCTCTTATAGACAGCATATATTTGTATAATTGGACTGAATATTCATTCTGCCATTATCTACTTTGTAATTATAGTTTTTAATCCATTTATTTATAACGAAATTATGAAAGAGCCAGGATTTAAATGAACAATTTTGATATATGTCTTTTTTGCTCCTCTATTATTGCCTTTTTGTGTTAGATATTTTTCTAATACCATTTTAATTCTTTTATTGTTTCTTTTACTGTAAATTTTTAAAATTTTCTTAGTGACCACCATGGAGAATGCAATTAAAATTTTAACTTAAATAAAACTTGTTCAGGTTAATACTAATTTTATTTCACTAACATAGAAAATCTTTGCTACAGGGTAGCTCCGTTCTCTCTTTCTTTCTGTGGTATTATTGTCACATGAATTACATCCTAAGCTTATCAACTCAGTTTTGTAATTATTGCCTTGTGCAGTTGTCTTTTAAATTAGATAAGGAAGATAAAATAATTACAAACAAAAATACATTTAAAATCTTTTTTTATATTTCTCTATGTAATTACTTCTACTGGTGTGCTTTATTTCTTCATGTGATTTGAGTTGTTATTTAAAAGGTGTCCTTTAATTTAGGACTAAATGTAATATAAAGTTTAGTATTTCTTATAGGGAAGGAATGCTGACAACTAAGTCTATTAGTTTTTTGTTTGTTTGTTTGTTTTTTGAGTTGGAGTCTCACTCTGTCACCCAGACTGGAGTGCAGTGGCCGCTCCCGGCCACCGCAGCCTCGACATGCTGGGCTCTGGCGATCCTTCCGCCTCAGCCTTCCGAGTAGCCGGAATTACAGGCGCGCGCTACCATGCCCAGCTGATTTTTTGATTTATTGTAGAGATGAGGTCTTGCTGCCCAGGCGGGTCTTGAACCCACGGGCTCAGGCAATCCACTCACCTCAGCCTCCCAAAGGCGCGGGATTACAGGCTGAGCCACCCAGCCCGCTGTCTATTAGTTTCTGTTTATCCTTCAATTTGGACGTATACTCTTACCAGACATAGAATTATTAGTTAGCAGTCTTTCTCTATTAGCAATTTGACTATGTCATCCCACTGTCTTCTGGCCTTTCTAGTTTTTGATGAGAAATCAGTTCTTTATTTTATTGAGAATCTCTTGTATGTGATGACTTATATTTTTCTTGCTGCTTTTAAGATTCTCTCTTTGTCTTTCAATAGTTTGATTATAATATTTCCAGATGTGGATACTTTTGTGACGACCCTACTGGAGTTCATTGACCTTCTTGGATACATGGATCCATATCTTTTATTATATTTATGAAGTTTTGGCCATATTTCTCCAAATATTTTTTCTAGCCCCATCTTTTTCTCTCACATCTCCTCCCATTATGTGATGTTGAAATGCTTGATGGTATCCCACAGGCTTTGTGCATTTTTAAATATACTTTTTATTGTCGAACAGTTTTAGATTGATAGAAAAACTGTGAAGATAATAGAGAAACTTCCCAAATTGTCCACATTCAGTTTCCCTTGAGGTTAGTATCTTACATTTGTGTTACAATTGATGAGCCAATATTAACATATTACTATCAAATAAAGTTTATACACCATTGAGATTTCCTTAGTTTTTACCTAATGTCCTTTTTGTTCCAGGATCCAATACAGGATGCCATATTATGCTTATATTTCCTTAGGCTCTTCTTAGACATGCCATTTTCTTAGGCTTTTCTTCTTTTTGAAGATATTGATAGTTTTGAAGAATGATTGTCCCTTGGTTGGGATGTGCCTAATGTTTTTCTCATTATTAGAATGAATTTATGTGTTTTGAGGTTATGGTAATTTTTCTTAATTCATTTTTTTCACTTTCTCCCCTGTATAATTTCAGTTGCTCTATCTTTGATGTTTTGGATTATTTCTTCTGCCAACCCAAATCTACTGTTGAACTCTTATTGTAAATGTTTCTTTCAAGGGTAATTTTCAACTCCAGAATTTTACTTTGTTCTTATTTTTATAACTTCTATTTCTTTATTAGTAGTCTCATTTTGTTGAGGCATTGTTCTCATACTTTCTTCTAA